CGCCAGGCACCGCCGCTTGGAAACCTCCGAGGAAAATCAGGGCAGGGCTCACCTTCCAGCGAGGTTTCCTTTGCTCTCTCCTTTTTTTTGGATGCGTTTTAGATGCCTGTAGAGACTTCGTTGGTTCGCCTCAGACCTATGTGACTCTGGGGGAAGGATCATGACCGAAGTCCTTCTCTCTGCTGCTCTGAATGGAACTGAACCCAACCTGTTATCCAGCAGCGGCTGGTCTGTGGGAAACGTCACCACCAAGTGTTCTCTGACCAAAACTGGCTTCCAGTTCTATTACCTGCCCACCGTCTACATTCTGGTCTTCATCACTGGGTTTTTGGGCAACAGTGTGGCCATCTGGATGTTTGTCTTCCACATGAGGCCTTGGAGCGGCATCTCGGTTTACATGTTCAACTTGGCATTGGCCGATTTCTTGTATGTCTTGACTCTGCCCGCCCTCATCTTTTACTACTTCAACAAAACAGACTGGATCTTCGGAGATATCATGTGCAAGCTGCAGAGGTTCATCTTCCACGTGAACCTGTACGGCAGTATTCTGTTCCTGACCTGCATAAGCGTGCACAGGTACACGGGAGTGGTGCACCCCCTGAAGTCCCTGGGGAGGCTGAAGAAGAAGAACGCCATGTACATCAGCAGCCTGGTCTGGGTCCTTGTGGTGGCCGCCATTTCTCCAATACTCTTCTACTCGGGAACGGGGATAAGGAAAAATAAAACCATAACGTGCTATGACACAACAACCGACGATTACCTGCGAAGTTACTTCATTTACAGCATGTGCACCACAGTGCTGATGTTCTGCATCCCCTTCATAGTGATTCTTGGTTGCTATGGGCTCATCGTGAAAGCTTTGATTTACAAAGATTTGGACAATTCTCCTCTCAGGAGAAAGTCTATTTACCTGGTTATTATCGTGTTGACGGTCTTTGCCGTGTCCTACCTTCCCTTCCACGTGATGAAGACCTTAAATCTAAGGGCCAGGGTGGATTTTCAGACTCCAGACATGTGTGCCTTCAACGATAAGGTTTATGCCACTTACCAAGTGACGAGGGGCCTGGCCAGCCTCAACAGCTGCGTCGACCCCATCCTTTACTTCCTGGCAGGTGACACCTTCCGAAGGCGGCTTTCCAGGGCCACCAGGAAATCGTCCAGAAGGAGCGAACACAACGTGCAGTCCAAAAGCGAGGAAATGACTCTCAATATTTTAGCAGAGTATAAACAGAATGGAGATACCAGTTTGTGAACAAATGTGGAAGATTTGGGAGCAGTTTGAAAAAATCCTCCGCTTTGAGGCAATAGGAGACTGTAGGGCTACAAGTGTGTGAGGAAAATCTACCTGTCTCAAATTCCTTTTAGGTAAAGCCTCATTTTCTGATCTTAGAAAAAGCTTAACAAAGTCAGTGGAAGGATTCTAATGGAAAATAACGTGTCAAAATTCAGCTTTCCTTCAATAGTCTCATTTCTATCTGACTTGTGTCAGATAAAGTAAAATGAAGTAAATCCCCTAAAGGAGGAAAGCAATCCAAGTGCTTCTAGTTTAATGACTTAGTCTCCCACGTTCAAAAATGTTCTCAGTCAGCCTGTCTTTAAAAATAGGAAATAAAAATAAGAGCAGTATCTTGTCTTCTGAGGCTCAGTCACAGCCTTTCGCTGTTGTACACAAGGATTTAAATGAGAGTCACGATACAGTTATCATTTACAGTTTTATTATTTCTAGTGCTGATAATTATTTGGTAGTTTGGTGGCATTTATGGTTCAGTCCTCTTTCAGTGCCGGTGTTTTACTAAAGGTAGGCTTACTGGTGTGTGCATGGTTGTGCTTTTGGATCGCGATGGTTGTTCACGACAAGTCTGGACCCCCTCAGAGGCCGAGGGCTGGCGGGTGAGGTGGTCCCTGGGGCGCTGGCAGACGGGCCCCCCCAGGGCTGTGTGTTGGTGAGCAGAGGTGTGTGGAGGTGCCCC